CGGTTTCCTTCAAGTACACCAATTTTTTTCCCCCGTGGAAAAGACGTATTTCTCATATATTCTTTTTAAAGTCTTTATACTTATGACAATGTTATGCTGATGTGCCAGAGGATGAAGAATCTCCTTGTTTGTGAAACCTATACTGAAGCACAGTTCCTTCAAATGCTTCATGGCCCTAATTTTAACAAGTCTCTCTGAAATAACAGGTTATGACTTCATTCTCATAAATTAATGACTTTATCTCGTAAATTCACGACTTAAATCTCGAAGTCCTTAAAGTCTTAAATCTCAATATGGCCCTCATACTCCTTCTTACAAAACAATCATTGGATGAATTGTGCTTGTATGTATCTACTATTTTGTGTCTGTGCAAGGTCGCACAATTAAAACAATAATTGCTGCGCTCCGCGGGTTTCCTTTAAGTCAGTCGTGACGCGAGCCTGAGGGCGGGGACATTTGGCAACTCCACCAGGAAGTCCTCCGAAGGTCTCCAAATGTCCCCGCCCTCAGGCTTACGTCACGACTGATTAGAAAAAAAGCTGCGGAGCGCAGCATGTATTGTTTTAATTGTGCGACCTTGCACAGACACAAAATAGTAGATACATACAAGCACAGATCATTCCCACAAAATTCATCCAATGGTTGTTTTGTATGAAGGAGTATGAGGGCCATATTGAGAAGGAGGATAGGAGATACTTCATCCTCTGGCACATCAGCATCACATTGTCATAAGTATAAAGAATATATGAGAAATACGTCTTTTCCACTGGGAAAAAAACTGGTGTACTTGAAGGAAATCGCTGCTTTTGTGGAGGCAGAAATGAATATGCTGAGGATATATCTGTCAATGCAGCCATAAATATGTCCATGTAGATTCTCATTCATCCAGGTCATGGTTATCTTGAAGACTTAAAACAGGCAACTGGACTGTGTAGAGTTGAGAAGACGTTTCGCCTCTTATCCAAGAAGCTTCTTCAGTTCTAAAAGTGCTAGTGTCAGGAGCAGATATTTATCTTACTGGAGAAGGGGGACAGTTAACGACTGGGTGGAGTTGAAAAGAATGGGTCGTAGAAACCCATCTCTGGACATATTGGATCACACTTTGGGTCGGATACCCTTCAGCTGGTCCGGGAGCACGAGAAAACTTGCAGGAAGATGGCGGATTACAGAAACCACCTCCGCTTCAACCTAAGATGCAGACAGCAAGGACTTGTTCCCAAAAGCCTACGCTTGTTTTCCACCGTTAAAGGGCACAGAGCAGACAGCATCCTTTGCAGGACACAGAAGCAGCTCCTCAATGAAAGGATTAGGCAGGTTAACTTCACCATTGAGGCCTTACAAGCTAAAATATATCACACCAAGGAGACACTGGCATCCCGACTTCCAGAGGACATCCTCAACAAAGTCCACAACTTTGTCGACAAGGCTCAGAACTCTCAACACAACAAAGGCAAGATAAGACAAACACAGAAATTTGACAGACTGCTCTCCAAGCACTCAAAGAGTCCATCAGAACTTGGTTGGAGGGACAAAACTGACAGCCACACAGACACCAACATGCAAGAAAAGTGGGTGAAGAATTTGTCAGACAGGGTTCTCACTCAGCCGGAAAAGGAAGTCCTTTACAAAGGACTAAATTTTGCAGTTACCCCAGAACAGATCCCGGTGGTAGACCTTATCACAGCCACGGAGTCAGCAATCCGCAACAACAATCTGGCGGTCACGGAGGCAGAGCAACTTAGATTGAAGGTAACAGCTGCTCTCTCGAACGCCAAAACACCTCCTTCCAACCTGACCATGCAGGAAAGAAGAGCCTTGGCATCACTGCAAAAAGATGAAAACATCACCATCCTGCCTGCAGATAAGGGGAGATGCACTGTGGTACTCAACACCAGGGATTACCACGACAAGGTAACAAGTCTTCTCAGTGACACTGCCACCTATGAAACTCTAAAACGGGATCCCACCAACAGCTACAAAAAGAAAGTTATCAGTGCACTTCAACAGCTCAAAAAGGATGGAGTTATCGACCGCCCACTCTATTACCGGCTGTACCCAGGGGAAGCTGTCCCGTGCATTTATGGATTACCAAAAATACACAAGGAAGGGGCGCCCCTTAGACCCATCATCAGCAGCATTAACTCAGTCACATACAAAGTGGCAAAACATTTGGCCACCATCCTAGCTCCTCTTGTCGGCCACACCACTCACCATGTCAGAAACTCACAGGACTTTGCAGAGAAAATCAAGGACATCAGGTTGGACCCAGATGAAACCATGGTTTCCTATGATGTCACATCACTTTTCACAAGTATTCCAACAACAGAGGCAGTCCAAGCAGTAAGACAACGCCTCTTACAGGACAGCACACTGGAAGTCAGAACCAACTTAACCCCTGACCACATCTGCTCCTTATTGGACATCTGCCTCAGCACCACCTATTTCCAGTTCAGAGAGCGCCATTACAGACAGAAACACGGATGCGCGATGGGCTCCCCGGTTTCTCCAATAGTGGCTAACCTGTACATGGAAGAGGTAGAGAGGAAGGCCCTAACCTCCTTCAAGGGAGCCACTCCTAGCCACTGGTTCAGATATGTGGATGACACCTGGGTTAAGATCAAAACACATGAAGTAGAGGCCTTCACCGACCATATCAACACAGTGGACAGCAACATCAAGTTCCCCCGTGAAGATGTCAAGGACAATGTGTTGGTCTTTTTGGACTGTGCTGTACACTTGGAGGCAGATGGGTGTCTCAACGTTGAAGTGTACAGGAAACCAACACACACGGATCAATATCTACTTTTTGATTCCCACCATCCTCTGCAGCACAAACTGGGTGTCATCAGAACACTCAACCACCGGGCTGAGAATATTCCCACGAAGAAAGAAGGTAAGGAAAAGGAACAGAAGCACATCAAAAATGCCCTGACAACCTGTGGATACCCTAAGTGGGCCTTTGTGAAGAACAGAAAGAGAAATAACACTGAACAGGAAAGGGAGGAGAGACGCAAGAGCACTGTAATCCCTTACGTTGCAGGCCTGTCGGAAGAAAAAACTCAAGAGGATCTTTGGCAAACACCACATTCCTGTTCATTTCAAGCCTGGTAACACACTAAGGCAGAAGCTAGTCCGTCCCAAGGACAAAACACCAAGACATAAACAGAGTAATGTGGTATATGCTGTCCAGTGCAGCGAGGAATGCTCGGACCTGTACATTGGGGAAACTAAACAACCGCTTCACAAGCGCATGGCTCAACACAGGAGAGCCACTTCCTCAGGTCAGGACTCAGCTGTCCACCTTCACTTGAAGGATACGGGTCACTCTTTTGAGGACAGCAATGTACAGGTGTTGGCTCGAGAAGACAGATGGTTTGAAAGAGGAGTTAAAGAAGCCATCTTTACCAGGCTGGAGAAACCTTCTTTGAACAGAGGGGGTGGACTCAGGCACAATCTCTCTGGCACTTACACTGCAGTTCTCAGCTCTCTCCCCAGGAAGCTCCACACACATTCACACCTGGAACCACATGGCCCAGGTGGCATGAGTCATGTGGTCACATGACAGGAGTCACTAACGACCCTTTCAGGTTAACGACTTGGGGGGACACAAACCCAGAGATGGGTTTCTACGACCCATTCTTTTCAACTCCACCCAGTCGTTAACTGTCCCCCTTCTCCAGTAAGATAAATATCTGCTCCTGACACTAGCACTTTTAGAACTGAAGAAGCTTCTTGGATAAGAGGCGAAACGTCTTCTCAACTCTACACAGTCCAGTTGCCTGTTTTAAGTCTTCAAGACAGCCATAAATATCCGTGAATGACATTGAGCTTTAATTTATGATATGAATCCATATGCCATCATAAGGTGTTGGTGTCTCTGCAGGTGTAGGCTACGGCCGGTGTCAGAGACGTGGTGCTCGTCGGAGCTCGACTCCCTCTGGATCACAAATGTTGATCATCATCAGTTTGATTGTTTCTTCAGAAACCACAAAATCTCTCTGAATGACCCGCTGATACATCCACAGATAACCCTGCAGATGACCAACTTCAGTCATTTCCCCCTCCACAAAAGCAGCTTTATGACTTTATTTACTTTATGACTTTATTCTCCTAAATTTACAACTTTAATCTCTAAATCTTAAAAGAAAAAAACCTCAATGTTGTCCTGATACTCTGCTGTAGTTTTGTCAGCTTTCTTATTTCTAATGTTTTTGATTGTTGAAGCAGAGCGGATCAGTTCGTCTCTAAATCTTTAATGTTTGGTTAACAGATTTTAGTGAGTTCAGAGATCATGCTCTCATACAGCCTGAGCTGACTGTCTGCTGTTTTTGGATTGCTTGTAATTTCTTCGAAGACGCGCTGCGTCTCCAAGCGAGTCCAGCCTCTCACCTGAAATGCGCAGCTGTGCAGCGGCACGCAAAGCATTCTGGGATACCGACGGCACGAAAGCGTGCATAAATGCACGCTTGAAAACATGCTAAGCGCGCTTAGCATTTTTTAGCATCTCGTGCCAAATGGGACACCGTTCGCACCGTCGTGACGTTATGCACGCTTCAAATGCACCGTTCGACGGTGCAGAAGGGCACTCGGGTCGATGCGGTCTCTGAAATGAGACACAGCCACAGTCTATGGTTGAAGCCAGTTGCGCGCACACTCGTAGCCTCAGCTGATAGAGTAGCCGCATCAACACCAAGGATTCCAGCTTTACATAGTTCATAAAACCGCCGTACGTACGCTCCCTCTGGCCAGAGCTCCAGTTTATACATGTCTCCAACATTGTTGCATTCAGCGGATAGTTTAAATGATGCGTATCTGCTGTTTGCAGTAACAATCCTTTCACATGAGACGTCACGTCCAAGTTTATTCTCAAGATGTGCACGCAGTATATCAGCGTCAACATCGGGTGAAAATCTAGTTGCAAAGACGCTTACCCGTTTGGTTGTTATCATCTTAATGACTCCTGCGGCTCCAGTGCCCACAATAGTTTTGCCAACTTTCTTCTATCCCAACACAGATTTCCCGGTGCGTAATCCCTGTTGGGAATCCTCCGTGCGCTTCCTTGGCCCCTTTTTTACAACTTGGCTCCACTTTGATGACCCAGGCGAGGGCATCGTTAGCCCAGGGCTAAGTGCTGGTGTAGTGGTCTCCACGGTTAGGAGCAGCGATCGCTGTGCCTCTTCCCGGTGTCTGTCATCTGAGGTTTCAGTCCCCCCCGCCGAGCCGTCAGCCTCTCCGACAGCCGCTGAGTTGGTAGCATGCGCAGCGCTAGCTTTCCCTGCGTCCAGCCGCCTCTCCGGCTCAACAAAACCAGCACAGCCGTGATCATAACGCTGTTCCACGGCACAGACCCGGCGGTTCACATCCGCCGTCACTACACGCAGACCTTCAATCGTTTCAGTCTGCAGGTGAAGCGCATGTTTCATAGCAGAAACCTCGGAGTGTAGCTGCTCTACTTTTCAAAGCAGGCCGCATACGTCCATATTGGAAAATGTTACAGGTGGCAGCTCATCCAAATAGTGAGATACAAATCTCGGAACGTTATCCCCACACTCATGCAACACTTTAAGACAGCTCTTGATGTTATTGACGTCTTTCTGTGCTCCTTTGTGTGAGATGTTCTGTTGCGAGGTGGTAGGACAGAGTTCAAACAGCGTTTTCTTTGACGCCTCTATCCAATCTGAGTCAAAGTTGTTGGCAGCTAACAGGACTATCTCATCTTGACTTAATGTTCTCAATTTTATAGCAAGGAAGTGTAGAAGTTCATCCTCCACTAGGACTTTCCCATCAACAATCTTATATATTTCTGGTTTTAATCGGGCTCTGGCAAACACTGAGAAATGAGATACCAGTCCAAAACTATCAGAATTCCCCTTTGGGTGCAAAATTTCAGGTATGCACCCAGCAGATGACACCCTGACCTTAACTTAGTTTGGTCTGTGTAACTAGAAGTGAGGACATGGATGAAATGCAGTCATTCATTCTTAACAGCTTTAAATCTGCAACTAACACAAACGATTTAATTATTAAAAAGGCCTAATATTGTTCTTCCACTGTAGGGGCTTTCCTTGGAAACAAGAAACCTCCCAAGTGTTTCAGTCCAGAGGTCAGGGTCTTAAAGTTCAGGGACTTTTCCCTGTTTGGCAGACAATGATTCTAAGTGAATTAATGATGGACAGGAACTTTAAGAGTCAGACTGCTGGTGCTCAACAGGTTTTTAGCAGCATGTTATTTTGTTCTGAGTGTTTCATCAAATTAGTGGACAAACTGAAGATAGCACATGACATATTAGCCATCCATGAGATCCAAGACCTACCAAGGAGACATATTAAATATGAAACCAAAATAGCCTTGTGAACAGCATAGGTATAATTTGGTCAATCTCAAAATGCAAACTCTGAAGGCCCAGGTGTAAAATGCACAGCCTAAGTTCTGAAAAGTTTTGGATACTCTAGGTGGAGATGCAACTAATTTTTTTGGTCTTTGAAGGGTTTGAGGCTCCACTGTGGAAATGCTGAGAGTAAATGCATTGGGGAAAAAAAAAAAAGACCTTCAAAAGTTATTTACTTGGACTCCATACACCAGGTGAAAATACAGCTGATTAAGCATGATAATATCAGCACAATATTGGTATCTGCATACATGTAAATATCTGTAGATATGTGCAGCTAGATCAATTTTGCATTAATGATGTACATGCAATAAAAGTTTATGTGGGATGAACTTTAATGTGCCAACTGCAGGCATAAAAAAAGGCATTCTGTGTATTTGCTAACAAAAAGACCACCTCAATCATCCAGTCAGAGAGCTGTAGATCATGCAGGCTGTAAGGAGGTGTTTTAAAATATCAGAGACAGAATCATGTTTGTAAAGCTCAGGTGATGCAAGGAGGAGCAGAACAAAGCACCTCTATCTACCGATTTAACTCAACAGCTCTTTTTATGGTAGATTCAAAGGTTGTTTGTCTTGTTTATCCTCTGTGTTTGAACAGTGGACTGTCACAAAAAAGTAACAGGTGAATTCTAAAGGAGAAAAGGCCTTGTGTTCTTCGCAATATAAAGAGTGAATAACTAAAATGAGCTAAAAAATATCAGCACACCAGATCTTGTTGATTTCACTATTCCTTACCTATTTTGTTGGATGTTTGAGAGCACTTTAGACTGATGAAAACGCAGGCAGTAAAAGAGTGAGGGGGGTGTGGTAAAGTGACAGACTAATATTGTTTTTTTTAACGGCTGATACTCAATTTTTAATAAAGAGATTTAATAAACATATCACAGGAAAACTATAAAGACATGGTTTTCTTAGCCAGAAATGTGCTTGAGGTGGGTTTTAATTCAATGCATGAAACAGGAAATTCACTGGGCTATGCTGCATGTTTCAGAACATGACATACTTATTTCGGAGGCCAAATTGAACTCTGTTATTCCTTAAATCAAAACAGAATATCAATAAATACTTGTAAGTAACTGTTAGGTTTGATTTGTTGTCATTTAGGATAGGAAAACATGATGCTTCGAGGCATAATAGAGCAGCTACATAGAGGCTGCCTGTAGTATCCACAGACAGAATTGATGCCTTTTTCTCTAACAGGTAAAAAAGCATTTTCAACTGAGCAGCAAATGAAACACAGGAAGCCAGCCAAAGTCAGATAAGAATTTCTTATTATTCCAATAAAAAATACATTCATACAGAAATATAACAATTTTGCAAAACAATTTAAAATAAAAAATTCATAAAGCATAAACATAACAATTTTACAAAAGTTGTTTTTTTTTTTTCTTTTTATACAAAGATTCAGTTGAGAACAAAGAGCTGTGTGTGTTTGTGTGTGACAGAAGAGTAAGAGTAGTTGTGGGATGAAGGAGATGATGATGATGAAAAGTGTAAAGGATGCGAGCAAACATGGAGCTAAATCAAGGCTCAATTACTCCTTGAACAGTATTGGCTTTTCTTTTCCACTGAATGAATGTTCCTTTCCTCCTCCTGGCCACAAAAGACCGGGCCAGCAACTCCCAAATCTATCACAGCAAGCAGTTTCAAGTTTGTACTCATCCCGTCTCCTCCACTGGCTGATCTGGAATCTATAAGTCGTAGCATGCCACGGTGCAATGCGCTGCAACATTGAACTCTTACAGCAAGGTGTCTGAGATGGAGTGGATCAGTTTGGCCCGAAACAGCACTGAGAACGATCAGTGTCCTTCTACCTCCAATACATCTAGATTCTCCTCAAAGTGAGACACCGTCATAAGGTTTTTGACAATTTTTCCACATGCACCATCGATGTTTGATTTGTATCTCCTCCCCCTCGCCTGCTCCTGTGGTTTTCATAACACTGTAGCAGCTCAGCTAAAACAACGCTCCCCAGACAGGTCAATAACCAACCTACACAGTCAGCAGTCTGTGACAGATTCCATGCCAACAAAGCCTTTAGCAATTCATTACTGAGAGGCAGTACAAGGCGAGGCCTGTCTGACTGCAGCCTGTTAATTACAATAAATCTTTAGCGTTTCTTTAGTCCCACTTGCCAGGACAAAAAGGGACTGAGGGCGACAGGGGGAGAAGATGGTGACAGTGGAATAAGCAGGGAAAAAGCAACCTGAGCTACATGCAGCAGGCAGTTTTTGTTTGCCTGGTCCAGTTGCTTTTGTGTCTCAGAGTAAAGCTGCGGCTTTGGTTATTTTCAAAGTGAACTGTTTGGTTTTAAAATGTCAAAATTTGCCGTAATTGTTCTTCCAGAGCCAAGAAGTGATCTCTTAAAAACTGCTTCTTTGTCCAGAATCCAAACGACTTCATTCATTCCTGATGAATGACAAAGAAAAGCAGCAAATCTTTATATCTCTGAACAAATTCACAACAATCAGCTGAAACCATTTCATTATCACTAACTACAAGCTGTCTTTAATGGAATAAATCAGATACTGGTGCAGCTTGGCTCCAGAGCTCTGTGTGATGGACTTCAGTACATACTAACAGTAGTTAAGATCTTTTTATCAATAAAGTTAAGTGCTTTAAACATAGAGTTAGTCTTGTTTGCATGATCTGACTTTAAGCATTTTTATTTAATCTAACTCAAAAACACAATGTTTCATCTCAATCGATTAAATTTTGTGATTTTAAGAAAAGGTGCTTTTAGGAATTTTTCCATTTCAATTAAAAACGGGGAGGGCCGAGTGAACCTGTAACTGAGCCTTGATCGAGCTTGTCAAATCACCCATACAACAGATGTGACTTCCCGAGGGAGCAAAAACTCCCGCTGCCGCCGGGCTGAGTCACTTGCATAAGGCACCATTAAGGTCAACAGTGCATTATTACGAGATAGAAAAAGAAAAAGTACAAAATCAACTCCTGAAGGCTTATGATGTGAGCAAGAAGATGAGGAAGCAGTGGTGAAATCTCCAGCCGGATGAGAGTGAAAGTGTCAAACTAAGAAAGAGGAAATCATCAAGGCTTTATGTACAATATTGTAACATTTAACCGTTTGCACTTTAGCTGCACTTTTATTGAAACTATTTGCAGTCCTGATTACAGTGGAAACATGAAATGAACAAACCCTAGAACCATGCAACACCTGTCTATGATACTGAAGTTATAGTATAGTTGTGTTATACCTCTAAGCACACAGCTTATACAATTGGACTACAAATGAGCTTTGTAGCTTGTAAAAAAATAATAAACCAGGCTACATAACACATTGCACATTTAGTAGCTGCACCAAAAACACCAAAAAAGCTCCTGTCATACAGAGACCGGGAGGGAAGGGGAGTCTGAGTCCGAGGGTCACAAACCCAAGGCCTCAAAAAGCTTCAGAGAACCCCCATCCCCGGTCTGGGTGCCAAACAGACAGGCAGGAACATCCGTCCTGCCTCTGGGGGATCACAAACGGAGCGTGCCCCCCAGAAACTCACTCAGTCCACAGCAACATTGGAACCAGCCCCGCTCCATCCGCCAATAAATCAATCCATCCATCCATCCATCAATCAATTCCTTTCTTCTCCCAGAAATCTTCTTCCCTGGGGGCCGGTGGTCCAATCTCAGACATTCACAGTGCACACATGCTTACCTTAGACAGTTTCATAAAGTACCAGTGTATCTGCTGTCCGGGAGATGTCCCCAAAACATCATGCACCATACACACAATTCATTCACTCTCTTTTTTTTTTGTCTTTTTTTACTCTACGTGTCCTTCTCAAATCAAAAAAAGATCTTCCTTTTTCTTCTTTCTCGTCCATGATTTTGTCCTCTTGTTGAAACAGACAACCTTCAGAGCGCCTTTCTCCAAAGAGAGGTCCCGGAGGCACTGGGTTTCAGTATGGTGCAAAACAGCATGCTTTGGCTGGAACACACTCCCCCTACTCTGCTCTGGGACAGTTCAACCAAGAGACTAGTCGGGAGACGGCGTTTAGTTTTTCTGTTCTTTTTAAAAAAAAAAAAACCTCGCTGCGTTGCTTGGTTGCTGCACATCTCATCTGCTTTAGATGTGCCTCTTCATGTGAAGGGCCAGATGGTCGGACCTGGAGAAACATCTGGGGACAGAGGGGAGGAGGGGAAGGCGAGGTGAGTCACAACAAAAACATGTAGCAAAGGCAGATAAAAGAAGTTTCTTATTAGACTTTGTGCACGAGTGACTTCAAGAATGAAAGCCTGAAAAGATAGAGGCGTTTTAGAACCATTCTCCAGAGCAGCCATTTGCACAAATATATGTTATCTCTTTCTTTTTCTTCTAGAAAGTTCTGCAGGGAGGAGGCTGATTAACTCCAAACCGATGCTAGATGGAAGCTTCATGTTTACATTGATATGTAGATGATTTGAAATCTGAGCTGATTGATTTACAAAAAAGAAACATTTGACTTTATTTCACATTTAAAAAAAGAAAGGGAAGAGAAAGACTGAAGCCTTTTTCAAAGAACACATCATGCAGAAGCCAGTGCTTCAAGTGAATCAAAACAATGTCACCATGCACTTTCCCCTACTCGTAATGCCTTGGCTTTAGTTTACAAATCTCTCATTATCTCTGCAAGATCACAGCTCCACAATTGTTGATCTGCATCTGAAGTTAATAAAAGACAGTTTTTAAAGGGTAATTCATTTTAAAAAAGCAGCGTATTGGTGGTCACTTCCATGAAGAATATTTCCTTTACTTCAAGCCTAACATCATAATAACTGCTGCTAAATTTCACACGGGTCCGGCTCTGACTAGATGATTATCTCAGCTGAGATCAAAAATCTTTGCCACTATTGCTCAACATGAAAAGCAGCATTACAAAGCTGAATGTTAGAGGGGCTGTGATTGGAAGAAACTCTCTCATCTATACACAGACTCATATTTTTCCTCAGTCGAACTATTATTGGGCTCCTGGTATAACAAATTTAAAAAGTTGCCAAAGATTGTGTTGCAAAATTAATAACAATATACTGTCTTTGGAATGACATGTAATAGCCAGATTCATGTTAAGAGAGCACATCTCAGCGCTAAACTGTGATGGAAACACTGATTCTGTGCAGTCCTGTTATTACTAATGTTTGTGCAGCAATGTGGAATGTTCACATGTGTCTCAGATAGCTTTGCTGAGTAATCTGCCAAATCCTCTGCAACCTGCATCAGAAGTATCATAGCTGACCATCTTTAAAGTGCATGTAAGGAGTGTGTGCTGTGGCTGTGGAGGAGGCCTACGTACCTGTCACAGTGACTGCATTTAAATGGCTTTGCCCCGGTGTGCTTCCTGAAGTGTCTGGTCAGCTCGTCGCTTCGTGCAAAGCGCCACTCACAGCCCTCCCATGAACACCTGTATGGTTTCTCACCTGCAGGGCAAAGAAGAAAAAGATTAATGGAGCTCACATTCAGAGAGGAGAAACCCAGCAATTGAATGGCCGTCTCTGTGCTTTTGTTATTCAAATACATTCAGATCAATCAGCCCCGAGGCCGGATGACATGACATAGAAGCTGACAAGCCATACATGATCCAAATTCCACTGAACCTGATGGACAACCAGCTCTGGTTGTATGCAACTTAAAACATGCTAAGAATTCTCAGGGCAGCTGCAAATGTGCAGAATAAAACATGAAATGGAGCACAAGAGCAATTTCACGCTGCTAATCAAAACCAAGAAATGACCATTCAGAGCCCTGCCACTTCGTGCCCCCGGCTCCCCGCCCATTCACCCCTTTCCCATAGTGAAACTCAATCTGTTTTGAAGTCATTTTATCTCCCATGTGCAGCCCCCCCACCCGAGCCTCTCGCTTGTTCAATCACTCACTGGCTCAGTCAGTCACATTCCAGATAGATTAGGTCACAGTTTAGGTATCCAGCCATGCAGAGCTAATACTCACTGCGCTCCAGCTGAGGACATCATGCAATGTGGACCTTTAATTACATTACACAATGGCTGGACAATACCATTAAGGTGGAAGACTAAATCTAAGACTCTTCCTGTGTCCATTCACTCAGCAAGAGTCAGGCTTTTGTCAAAGACTGAACTGCTGCTGCCTGAACACCTCAGTAAAAACCCTCTCATCTCCCTCTTTAGCTTCATGTTTATCAAACATGGGGATGGCTGCTGTTTGGGGCTCACCTGTGTGAGTGCGCTGGTGTGCTTTTAGGTGTGAGCTCTTTGTGTAAACCTTGCGACACCCGTTGAACTGACACCTGTGTATCCGCCTCCTGCCATCAGGTGAAGCGTCCCCGCACATCAGTCCCGTTTTTTCTGTACTTTTTACCACCCCGCCACTCCTGATTTTGACCGGCAAATGCAGCTCTGCATGCGCTGCGACCCAGCGGTTCGTCACACCGCTGGACTCCGAGTTTGCCTCCGGAGAGGACGGAGGAGTGCTAATGACGGAGGGGCTAAAAGGTCCAGAGCCAACCAGGACGGAGCCCAGAGGGTTGGAGGTAAAGCTGTGCGTGGGTGAGAGCTCCTCTGAACTGTCTGAAGCCTCGCTGCTCACGTCAGAATTCACACTGTTGGTGTCCAATATTTGGCTGTCCTGATTGTCCTCCTCAAGGGTGCGGGGCAGTGTAGGGTCACACTCAGTCTTGGCCTTGTCCCCGCATGCCAAGATCAGCTTGCTCCAGAGGTCCTCCTGGCCGTCGAACTTGAGGTCGGATGTGGAGACGTAAGGCTCGCTCTGCAGGTAACGCTCCAATTCCAGGCATGTCTGCACGGAGGAGAAAACAGAGTAAGAATAAATGAATTACAAAAGCAGCTCCCCTGAAGAGAGGAAACTCATTCACAGCTGCAGAATGAATCTGCGCGGGGAATCCTTTTAAATGATGCATGTGCACAAAATGCCTTCTGTGCTGTAATATTTGTTAATGCTTACAGCAGCGAGCAGCAACCAGGAAACTGGGGCTGTAACTGCATTTCTCTTCACTGTAGATATCAGACATTTTTAACATCAAGATCAGGACTACAGTGAATTATTGATTTAAAGAAGAGCAAAACGGAGTTATTTTTCACACTATAAATGCCTGATATTTACAAGTCACAGCTCCTCAAACAGCAGGCAGTCACACTGCTTTTTCAGGATCAGGCAAAGAGGAAATATCTCTTAGATCTGGAAAGTTTTTTTTTCAATTTGAACTTTTTTAGATTGAATTGATGCATTAGAGAATAACCCAACAAACTGCTTACCAATTTGTTGCCTTGCAGCTTTTGGACAAGTTTAAAAAAAAGAATCCACGTTTATGACACTGAACTCTGTGATTCTAGGTCAACATGCCCTAACTACAGCCTCAGCTCGAATATCAGCACATACCAGCCTCTGTGGACTCAGCTGCAGAAGGGTTTAAGCTTGAACACATTACCTGAGATCTGCAGGCCAATACTAAACATGCATTGTCATTTCAGCTCTCCAATGACTCACTGAACAAATTTAAAGTCCTTTTAAGGAAGCCGCTCAACTTCCACCCTCCCTCTCTTCCTCCCTCCTCTCTCTGTCTCTCTTCCCCTCTTCAGCGTGAGCCATTCAGCTGCTCTTCCTCTTGCGTACCTCTGACATGCAATCACATCCTTCCTCATGAGTCTCTATTGTAAAAGATACACCGGCTTCGATTTACTACACAGGCCGTTAAAGTTCAAAAAGCGTTTATTAGAAGGTGCTCAGAGACAGATGACTAGGGAAGAGGAGCATGTAGATGAAGAGTAAATATTTCCCTGTAGGCTTCTACAGCCTGAACGCAATGTTTCCTGGCTGTGCTGACCTGACCATACATGATAAAACACGTTTTTAATCAACATTTTGACATGAACATGCAGAAAACTCATTGCAGAAGGCTACCTCACTTGTGGTGTGTCAATATTAGCTTGTGAATCACACTGTACTGAGTTGCAGCCCTGTGCAAGACTTCAATGTATTTGCAGTTATCACCAATGTGTCCTTGATGCAGTGTGATGCACATGGTGGTAGGTTTCCAAAAAGTAAAATATTTCATCGATCTGAAGAGCTATCACTTAATATTTTGATAAACATGTATCACTGCACAGATGTAAAAAGCAAAAATGTCCAGTATCTGATGGTTTGTTCAGATTTGCTGCCGAGATAATCACATTATTAAAAAGTCTTTCAGCTCTGACGAGAAGTTATTCAGAGGTTATAAAAATGTACTTTATTTCACAACTTCCCGACATTTTACAGACCACTCTATCTAAAAATATCCTGATCAAATAATCATTGATGCTGCAGTCCGACATGGCAGTTTCCTCTTTTTATAGATTAAAATAAAAGCTAAATATTTTTTGAATCAATGATTTGGGATTTTTTAAGGGGTTTCTAAAACATCTGCTGGGTTCAGGGTTTAAAAATAAAGAATTGGCTGCTTTTTTTAATTCTATGAATAAAAACTGAGTTTCAGCGGGTGGTTTGATTATGCAAACAGTTTGTAGACATCACTCAGGCTCTTGGAGGCAGCAAAGAGCATTCCACAGAACTTTCAGACATTTTTAGACCGAATTTTTGTCTAACTTATGGTCAAATTGTCTTTTGATGAATTAATAGTAAGAATACTGGCTTCTTGAAGCCCTGTATGGAGGCTTTCCCTCTGGTAGTGCAGGCCCAGAGTCTAGTTGTACCAGCAGGAATTGGACATGGCTGACATTTGATAATGTCATGTTGTGGTCAAACCCAAACAGGATGCATGTGGAGCAAAAACGTGGACTTTAAGCTGGGCCTGCTAGATCATGGCAAGAATCACCATGCTGATGATAATTTAACAGTATTAGTCAGACCTGCCTTTATTGAACTCTGTTACCCCTTTAACACTAAAAAGATGCTTGAAATGGGAAAGCTTGAGGTCCATGACCCTTTTTCCACATTCTCACTCTGTCCCTCTGCTTTACTAACACACACCTGCTCCTCTCCCACCTGTGTGCTGACTGTTTACCGTTGTAGTAAAACGTGATGAAGGTAAAGCCTAACCTCACTTTATGCGTTTTCAGGCAGTTTTCACTTAATCTTAATTATTTCGTTTTTTCATGACTGAGGGAAGCCAAAATTCAGTTAAAAATCCATTCAATCCCTTGTTCCTACTTTTATCAGGGTCATAGTAGGTTATATTGAGTGCCAAAACACACAGGGTTTTTTAGAGAGGAAAAATAAAACCCAAATAATTAAAAATAAAAGCACTGCATCTGATAGAATTTAAAATTGCACCATATCTTGCATCATTTCATTCAATTTTTGTGTTCAAAGCAGCTCAGAAGCTAAAAAAGTCTAATAACGTCAGGGCAGAAACAGCAGCACGCTCCTCTCCCTCTCTCCATTCATGTTGGCGCAGCAGCAGAGCCTCCACTCCAGCTGTCAGACTGACACACTGATCCACTTCAGCCTGCCAAAAACTTCATAGCGACACACACTGCTCACCGGGAAACCTGCGCAAACAACCGTTAACTTTTGACGGGATTTTAAACTTGGCGCAAGCGGCGGCGGCGGCGCAGTTCCGCTTTTCCACACGAGCTAAAACAGAGACTTTCATACAAACAGCTGATGTTAAAAATATTCACCTGCTGCCAGTACTCCTCCAGTGACGGTAAGGCGGAGAAATAGCCTGTGTCATGAACTATCTGAAGTTCTTGAAAGATGCTGCACATGGGTAGAACATCCATTTTGTGCTTGAAAAAGATTTAGCTGCCCTTTAGATAGAAAAACAGCCGAAAAAAGCAGGATGAAGAGGGATGAGAGCGATCCCCAGCGGTGCCACGAAGAAGAAGAGGCTGTAGAGGCAGCAGCAGTGAGAGAAAAGAGTCCTATCGGTCCGCCAGTGAGAGAGTGCGTGAGTCCCCCTTCTTCTCTCGCTCTGCGCTCCAGGTGTTTGCAAACACTGCGCCGGACTGGATGGGGAACAACTGCGCTCTGCAAACTTCCCTATTCAAACCTTCAAACCCGCCCCCCCTCGACCCCCCTTCCCTCACGGCAGGATTACGCCTGCAGGCTTCCAGCCAATCAGAACCGAGAAGCATAAGAGCTTGCAAATGATATCACAACCGGCCAATTGCGGTGCGCCTCTGACTCAATTTGGTTCTCCCTGCGTTCTGATTAGTCGGTTTGACTCTCTGTGTCTTGTCGCTGATTGGCTGGTTATTTTTAGGCTTGTATATAAACCCTCTGAGCCCGGACTCCGCTTCTGTCTCTCGTTGATTTCGGTCGGCGGTGTTGTTCGCCACAGACAGCGCCTGTGAGCCGAAACCGTTTTATTCCTGTTCTGTGGAAAACAGCTCAGAGAGTCAGTGTGTAACTTTGAAACACTTCGAGCTCAGGTCAGAGAGATTGAACTGTGGACTGTGGACAGCAGAGCCTGAAGTCAACACACGTCATATGACACAGTGACTCAGGGATAGCCGGATATGATTGTGTCATGTGAGTTTAGAGGCAAAGCAAGTTTGTTTCTATGGATACAGAAAGTGTTTTACATATATAATAGGGCCTACACAAAAAGAAGAAAACAATATAAAGTTAGACCAAAAAAAAGTTGCTTCTAATCCAAGACAAATCAGTGCTGTCACACCACCTGAGCCAAAATTATTATTTTTTTATATTAATTGAAGCCAAATCTTTCTGTCAACTCAAAATATCACAAACATTGACAGATGGGAACAAACACAAATATTTTACAATATTTGGAGATTTTCAATGATAAAACTGGCCCAAAACCTGATCTAGACCAACACAACCCAATTTGTTAAACTTATGTGATAACTGTCATTTTAGTCTCAATGGATTACATTTATAAAAGAAATGTGCATTGTTTCCAACACAGACTATTCTTTCAGCTTTATTTATTCACAAATATTCATCAAATAACATATTTTGAGCATTTTTTGACTGTGTGTGAAACAATATACAGTTGTTAAAGATGCTGTCTGAACTTGATATTTTAGTACAATAATTTATGGGAAAAGTAAAAGACTTTGCTGTTTAAGCTTCTGTAAGTAACTTCCTCTTCAGACCAATTCTGGCAACCCTTATATACAAAATGATACCAGATGTTTCTCTGCTTATCTTGACTTGTACATTTGAGAATTGTTTTATTATCTCTTTTAAAACAAATGTCAAAGCTCCTTTAAGGAACGCTCTGTCTGTAAGGATTTTGGTGCCCCTGGTGGACAAAGTGAGAAGCCTTTTAATGTTGCTGAATGGGTCTCGTCTTTATGAAGTGGCATTAATTGACTTTTTGAGGTGAAATTTATTACTCATCATGAATTTTAACTTTTAACGTTCGACTTTTTTTTTCTTATCTTTTTTAGCATACCTACCTCTCTTACAGCAGTTACAGGCATTGAAAATGGCAATTCAGAAAGTATCTAACCCATCGTCAATGGTGTCATTTGCTATTGGATATCATAGAGACACATGACTGTTCATTTCATTCTGTTTTATAACTTTACAAAATTCTGTCCTGTTCTATAACCAGTTAACAATTCCTCACGGTCAAGAAATACACCCTATGTAAAGAGGCTTTTGCCCCAAAATAAGTGGCTGGGTTCATATTTAACAGGACCCCTTTTCAGCATCCACTCCCCACTCTATCCTGTTTTCATGCCTTGTCTACTCTGCTGTCATCACTGAATGAAGACATAAAAGCAATACATTATAACATGATAAAAATCAAAAATAGAGCTTAAAAAACTTCTTTGAGAGAATTTGTTCAATTCTGTGTTGGTTCAAGTCTTCTCTCAAACCCACAAAGGCACATTAAACTGTAAAAAAATACACCAACATTTTTGTTTTCATCATCTGTGGACAGAAACCTTTAAATTCTTGCATTACATTTAAGTTATAGTACACTAAAACATCTCTCGCAGGGTTTCAAACATTCCTGTTTTATCACAGAGAAAAAAACAAAAAAACAGCAGATCAAAGATGCTCTCTGTGTTAAGCAGGGGTTCCACAAGTGCAGCGTGTCAGTAGTTAGAAAATCTATTTTTTTTCACCTCATTTACACTTAAAAGAGCATACAGCCAAATTAATATTCCAGAGAAGTTCCCCACGGTTAAAGAGTTTGTTTTACCCTGCTTTCGTTATTATTATACATTGAGACAGTCCTCGACGCTTAAACACTTCATTATTACTCAAAACAGTTCAGACCAGCTGCTCACAGGTGGTGTCTACCTGTGAAACTCTCATTAGTGTTTGCATGAAACATTAGCACTGAAGCTAAAACAGGCTCTGTCCTCCTCAGACTGATTCACTTCAGGGCTTTCTGGAGATTTTTTACGCATTACAGCGAGAGATCACACATTTCTAATTCTCTGCGCTGAATTATTCTGCTGACTGACATCATTCAGATCTCATTTTTGTTGAGGCTTATCTCTCTTTGGGTACGGGATTTTAGCTACCAATCCAAAACTGTTTAACATCACATTGTAAAGAAAAGGCAGGGTGAGTTTTAAACCTTTCAGCAAGTTATTTGTTTGAAAAGTGTCCAAAGAGACTGAGATTTAAATCAATTTCAAGTGAAATGAGGCCATCTAACACACAGAGGACATTCAGAAACAGCAGGAGTCAGACAAAAGTTCTATATGTTTCAAACAGTCAGGCAAAAATAAGCCTCAATAAAACAAGACATGATTAAAATACAAGGAACAGCAACAATTAATCATCCAATTCTGCACAGTACATCAAATAAGGGTCAACCACAAATTAAAAAGCTGAAAAAAATGCTGTTTGGAGAGACAGTTTAGGTGGTTTTATTTTTAAACTACATCTTTGTTACTGTCTTATTTTCTATCTTCTTTATTTGAAGAGTTTGAAACCAGTGCCTTCAAGGTTAGACTAAAATAATTTTACAAATTTGATACAAATTTAACCCCACACTATGAGTTTTGAAGGAAACACTTTCATGTTGGTCAAAGTAAAACAGAAAAGCTGAGTTATAACATCCATAAGACCTCTTTTGACTGGTGATACCCAGCTGGATTCCCTCATGAATGACTCCATTCCAGCGACATACCATCACATATTTGTCACTGGCACGACGTCACCCTGTCTCATTCTTATCATTTCCTCTGCTGAAGTCCTCGCGTGCCTCTCGGGTCTGGCTTCCTGCAGAAGTTGCATAAGTTCATGCATTGAGTTGCACCAAAACCTGACAATGCCAGCGCCTGATGAGATGAACAACATCTCTGCACAGGAGCCACATTGTCCTCACAGTGGCAGTATGTTCAGCAGACTACTGAGTGTCCTTTGTGCTGCTCTCAGCTGTGAGGCCATATTTGTCAGCCATAGCATCAGATTTAGTCATATGGCAATGTTCAGCCTGGAGCTGCTCTCTGTAGGCCTGCAGAGGAATCGCTTTTATGTCTCTAATGGGGTTATTCATTAAGTCCCTGTAGGACTCTAAGGACACTTTGCTTTGAAGCAGCTTGGAGTCCGTTTATAAGAGCTGCTGAAACTTCTTTTGTCACCAGATGAAATGCAACAGAATGCTTATCATTGCACTATAACATGCCCACTCATTATCTGTGCATTTCCAAAGTTGCCAGGCCTCACGCTGTACAAGTTTGATGAATAACAGAGTCCTCGGCCGGGTCCCGCTGGAGCATTAGCGGGCGGCTCTGCGGTAATCACTTCCTTCAGATGAAGCATTTAGAGAATGCATGGGGTCCGTCATGGCAGCTTTTATCTAGGAAGGCCAGGTCGGCAGCTTTATCATCGTTATGTAATCCTGACTCGGCCAGTAGCCACAAGAAAGAGCAATTACAGGATGACCCATTTTAATGCATCACTGTCAACCCAATTAGTGAGTTGTTCCATGAGGTTTTCCTGAGCAACCTGTGTGCACGTGACTCATATGCATGGGAAATTTAAACTGTAGACTGTGAGTGGTCCACAGAGTTGTGTTTGGCATTAACTGCACGTTAGCATGAAATTATCAACTGTACTATTAATTAGACAACGGTCAGACAGTGATTGCTGACTTGTCTGATTAAGAAAAAATGACTGAAAATTTTTTCTTTGGTGAAAACTTTTATGTTTTATGGGTCTGAAATGAGAAGATTTGTGGCATGTAATGGTCTTACATTATCGCAGATGGGGTATCTTTGGGGTTTGGATTGTGTAACGATCATAACTCATTGTGCAGACACCACATCTTGCACAAGAAAACAATGCAACAAAACAACACTAAACCTTCTTAACTTTATTCTGATGTTATAAAGACTCAAACTCTGCAGATTATTGTTAATCTTTAATAAATTCAATCCCATAGTGTTCATTTTTTAGTTCAAAGATGCGTATTGTATTGGCTCGATTACTCTACATTAGATCAAGGTTTGGATTTAAAGTGAAATGTAAAATGAAAGTTAGATAAACTTTAATTAACTAATTGATTCTAAACACAGCCTTGCATAAATTTGTCAACACAGAAGTTTTGCAGCTACAACCTTGTTTTTTTGGATTTGAGTAAAATAGAATGTCCTTATATTCAGCTCGATATTTAGTGTACAGAAAAATAAATGAATGTGTTCCCATGGACTCTAGCATCTTGTTTTTGAGTTCATGCATGAAAACATCGTACCCTGAATTCAGATGACTGGGCATACCCCCACCCCCACCCAAACTATTATTATTTATAGTTATTTTTCTCAGATTTCTAAATTGCTGCAGTTGTGTTGTACGATAAAACATCAGGTGGCTGCATAAATGCGATGCAGCAATCAGAAACCAGGACAAGCATGTACCATGCATAAAGGCATATGAATAAACAAGTTTCTCTGTATGCATTTCAACCCTGCATCCCAAATATCAGAGTTGGCCCAAGGCATAAGCGAAGTAAACCTCTGCTTAGGGCCCCGCGGCCAGTAGGGGGCCTCCAAGAGCAATAAAAATTAAAAAATAATATTTTTTATTTTTTGCATGTATGAGTGATGCTTTCTGTATGATCAAATATATATTATTGTAAA